CTCACGATGGAGGCATTACTGGGCCCACTCGAGCAAATCGATGAGTAACGGGAGGACCGTGACCGTGTATAGGTGTGTATATATATATATATATATATATAGAGAGAGAGAGAGAGAGAGAGAGAGAGAGAGAAAGAAAGAGAGAGAGAGAGTTTTGGACTTTAACTATTGTAATATTATTGAGCAATATTCTGTGGCAAAAGATTTTGGAATAAGATTGTTTTGTGTTTTTGTTGGGTAGATATGGACTTCAAAGGTATATCATGTTGTCAATGTTATTATATATATGAAAACTGTAAAAAATGTTTCATGTGGTAATTAAATATCAGGATCAAGATTGGAGGTATTATACATATATAATCTATGCTATACATAACATATACATAACATACATGAAGTGTAGTTGTAGATAAAAATGTGTCCTCGAGAATCTAACAATTTAATGATTGTACCAAGAATTTGCCAACAATTGACGCTGAGGAGAGAGCTTTGCAATATGAAGAGAACCAGGAGACTGTGGTTTTTTTGAAATCCCTCAGAGGAAAGTGTCAGAAAGAAAAGAATGACAACCCACTGAAAAGCTAAGTATAATAAAGAAAAATAAAGCAATTGGCTTTGTCAAGCTGGGACCATCTATGTGCTTAACAAGCAATTTAGGAAAGTCAGGGAAGATAAAGTTTGGTTAGCATGGACTGAGAAGAGAATGACAGTTGCTCTAATCCTAACCTATCAAGACTCAATTGAGAGGTGTTTTGAGAAGAAAAATTTCAAAACCAAAATAGTAGGTGAAGCTGGTTGTGGGTCAAGAAAGGTATTTCAAAGAGACTCAGTCCTAAAAGAAAAGGGAGAAGAAAAAGGTATAGGAGAAGAAAGGGCATGTCAGAGGGATTGATACAGAGCCACGCAGAGGGGGAAGAGTATGGGGAGTCTTTCTTTTTCCATAGTACTAGAGGTGGGGAGAGGCAATCAGTATTGGATACAGGAAACTTTGGTAGAATGATGTTAATCAGTTCCCAGACTTAGCTTTGTAAAGAGGAAGATTCATAAACCTAGAGAAGGTGTGAGGGAGATTATCAAAGAGGGAGAAGGTGTGAGGGAATGATGAAAAGTGTTCTTTGTTCATCAACACATTGCCTAGCATAGTCAGATTATTATACTTGCAAAGTTCAGATGCTTGGTTGCAGGCAAGATGTGTTTGAGAGGATGGGTTTAACCAACATTACAGTTTTATTTGGTGAATAAAACTAACTGAAGGAATGAGAAAATAAAAGTTTTTTTTTAAGTGCCATAAAGTTAATTAAGTATATGAGAGGTTTCTGTATGAAGATGAAGGTACAAGAGCAACACTTGGTCTTGGTGTTTCTCTTATGCCAGATGGAATTTATGTTAGATAGAAAGTCATGGGCTCAGCAACATTAATTACAAGAGAGTGATTTGGGAAATGGAATTAAGGAAATCGTGGAATAAAGAGATGATTAGAGGTGAGATGTTTATTGGAATATCCATGCAGACATGGACATCAACAAGGATGATTAAATAACAGAAACAAAAAATGAGAAGGAACATATTGGCTTTCTATTAATAGTACATAGGTTTGAAGAGACCTCCATATATATATTTAAGTTTAAAAATTTGTTGAGTGGTTGTGTGGTAGGTAGTAAAGGCTTTACAACCCATTTACATTCTTACATAAGCTTTTCACAGGTTCGTATTTTAAAATCCAATTGGTTTATTTGCATTTGGACAATGGTTGGATGATATTTCTGAATGTGATGACATAGAATATTCTCAAGGGTTCTTTTTGTTTGGAGACGCATATCCGGGTCTATCCAGAGAGTCTCTATAGCCTTAGCATGTGCAAGGTCTGAGAACCCATGTTGCTCAATGGTATTCTAGTGGCTTTAAATATATCCAGGTTTAATAATGCCCAAACTAAAACGTATTACAGAGTTCCTTAAATGAAAGAAGCATCTAAAATAGGTTGTTTCCTATTTAGGCTTATTTTAAAGGACTGAAAATATAAGGATAAAATGCTGAATTTCAGAACTAGAAACCCCTCTGTTCCTGTAGAACTTTTTGATCTAGCTTGCTGAATTTGTTTTCATTTTCTTTCTCTTGGCACAAGAATACTCAAGTAATCATTTGTTTGTTTTGTTTTGGTGCTATACCCAGCCGGATTTAGGGTTTAATCCTAACTCTGTGCTAAGGGATCACTCCAGGCAGGACTTGAAGGAACCCAACATAGAACCCAGGTCTGCCACATGCTAGGCAAGTGCCTTATTAACTGCTGCCCTATCTCTCCAGTTCAAGAATGTGCAATCTAATACATCAGTCTACCATGCAGTAACTAGGAATTACCTGATCATATTTGCAAGAAACTGTACACTTAAGATCAATATCAAATACTAGAATTTGTTGCAAATCTAATTTTTGTAACTATGGTACTTGGCAGAAAAAGGTGAGTACAATAGGTGGGAGGAATGGGTATAATGAGGCTGGGATAGACTGCAGCTTTGGTGGTGGGTGTGCTAAGTCATATGTTTTACAATACATTGCCATGCTATGTAAACTAATCAATAAAAAGGGGAAATGTGAATTTTTTCTAAGATTTTCACCCATTGTTCTTAAAAATTAGGCATGCTTCTTTAGCACTCTAAATGTCTTTGGCATGATTCTTATTGACCTTCTGTATCCGCTCTATCCTTGGAAGATATTAATTAAATATTTAATTTAGCTTCATATTTCCTATACAAATAGCACAGACTTACCAAAATAGATAAATAGTGAAGTAAACGAAAATGAAGTTAAAACTAGGTGTACCACACTACTCTAATGGTTCCCTCTGATTTCTGTATTTATTAGCCTTCAAGGAGGTTTCTTGAAAAAGTTGTGGACATAGTGGTAATTGGTTTTAATAAATAGTAAAACTGAGCCTTGGGGATTTAGCAGAAGTCTCACATTAAGTGTCAAATCCACAGAAACTCAATTCTCCCAGCAAGAAATCATTATTTTACTCATGCCCCATCATCTCTCTCTCTTTTTTTTTCCCTGGCGGCCTGCAGGAGCACTTCCCTCCCTAGAACACTAATGCCCCTTTGGTCAGATCTGAAAGAAGTGGCAAGAGCTTTACACCTGGTTTGCCATGAGCTTTAAACTAGAGAGATTTGTTGGTGCTCTATAGAGTTCTATGAGATCTTGTTTGGGTTGACTTTCTTGAGCAGAAGAAAAATTTCCTTGATATCATTTAATCATTCATTTGCTGCCTCCCAGATCCTATGAGCCTATGTGATGGAATATGGGTTCATGATTTAGTTGGGGAAAAGTAATATGCTTGTGATAAATGCTGTAGTGAAATACATGTATTCTGCAGGGCACATGAGAGGTGTGAGTTCGGGGGGTCGGGGGTGGGGGTGGGCATCGATTTAGAATTGAATAATCAAGGAAAGCTCCCTGCAGGAAGTGGCACCTGAGAAATTGAATGACAGATCTGCCATATCTGGGTACAGCACTAAAAGGGCTCTGATTCAAGCAATGGAAAAGCAGAATGGAGTACAGGGAGCATTAGGGAAACTACACATATTTCAAATATTGTTGGAATCCAGGGCCAGATTATAAAAGGCCTTTATGCTATCAGAGTCAGTTTGGACTTGCTAATTCTTAAAATAGCGGGAACTTTCTGCAACACCAAATTCTCCATCACAAAAATGTGGCCAATTGAAACCTAATTGCACACTCTGTAGCAAGTTGTACCTTACACCCTAGAAAAATTTGTTTTTATGAAAACAGGGCCCCAACAGCCTGGACCTATCCAATCCAGAGACTAAGGTCACCTAAACCTAGTGACATAAAAGCCACTTGATTGGGCTGAAAATGTGTTCTCAAAACTTTGTTCAGAATTTCTCTCCTGATGGTATCTGTGAATTTAGGTTGAAAATCTTTTAATGGCACATTAGGGAAGAGCAGTAAAAACCTATGGGGGAAAAGTGAAAGCTGTTCGGAGGTTTGTTCTCTGCTATAAATTGAAGGATCTCATGCATGCATGGAAGACTGGTACACATCCATTAATTACCCCCAAAATAATTTTTATTTATTTTTTGGGGCCCACAACCTTTTATTTATTTATTTATTTACTTTTTAATTTTTATGAGTGAAACATCATGAGGTACAGTTGTAGACTTACAAATTTTTGTGCTTGGGTTTCAATTATACAATGATCAAATACCCATCCCTCCACCAGTGCCCATTTCCTACTGCCACGCCAAAATAATTTTTATTAAGTAACTCACATCATATTGTAACAGAATGAATACTCTATATTTTACTATTGCTGTTTTACTACTTATAAAAACCAACAAATAGTAACATTGTAGAGGTAAAATAACATCATTTTTAAAGCTAGTTTAAAATAAAGTTTCACTATTGCTATTTATAATAGTTTATAGTTTAATTTCACTTCATTACTGTAATTCCAGAAAATAATTATTATCACAACTGAAATGACCCTCACCCAAGAAACCCCATGGATTAATGGATAAATTTGCTTAGATACCATTGGCTATAGAAATTCAGAGCCTGAGCTTTTGAATGCAGGAGACAATGCATTCCATTTAATACTCTTAGGTCATTGGGTTAGGTAAAGTTAGCCTATTTTGTTAGTTTTTTGTTTGGGCCATACTCTTTGGTGCTCAGGACTTACTCCTGGCTATATTCAGAAATCACACCTAGCTGTGTTCAGGGTACCATGTGTGGTACAAAGGATCAAACCAAGGTCAACCAGATGCAAGGCAAATGCCCTACTCATTGTATTATTTCTCCAATCCACTTTAAGATCTTTAAATTTTAGTTTTATACCTCATTTATTGACTGTGATCATTTAATGAGATTGTATGTGAGGAGGGCCTAGTATCTTGTTTAACTTCATCGTTCTTGAACATTTTTTCATCTATGCTTTAGTTCTGTTTTGTTATGAGCAACTTTTTCTTTTCTTTTTACTCTCCTAGGGATATGAAGCCTGACAATATTTTGCTTGATGAACATGGTAAGTAAATGATTTGTTTGCAGTCAACTGTATAGCATTTATATAGAAAAAGTCACTTATCTATAGAAAGGGAGTATTTCACATGGAAGAGGTATTTTTCTGATTCATTTGAGCTATAGGGACTAGTTTCATCTTAAGGGTGGTATCCATGCAGTGGGGGAACTTTATTATTTGCAGCAATGACTTGGTGCAACAAAAAACCCTTAAGTAACAATAAATGTATGCAATTAGCAAGTAATTCTCTTTCCACTTACTAATTTCTTCAAGAAAACCTTCACAGTGTTTTGGTGCTGGCTTGTCTTAATATCTGTATGACACTTAATAATTATTTTCTCAGTTACATAAAGATATAATAGGTTTTCCAACATTTCACAGGCAATAATATTAACCTAGAAACTAGTAACATTTTGGGTTCTTATTTGTCTACTTTTTTTAATTGAATCACCTTGAGAAGCAGTCACAAACTTTCATAGTTAAGTTTCAGTTATACAGTGATTGAGTACACATCCCTCCACCAGTGTACATTTTTCACCAATAATATTCCCAATATCCCTCCTGCCACTCCCATTCCATCCCACCCCCTGCCTCTGAGGCAGGCACCTTGCTTCTTATTTTCTCTGTACTTTGGGACATTATGGTTTGTGTCTACTTTTGTACATTTATTTATGAGTGTAAATTGGTTTGTATTTCCAGATTAAATATAAGGTTTTCTGTTCAAGTGCTTTTCAATTAAAAAATAAAACAGTTCAGGACCAAAGAAATAAGCCAACAGCAGGCCTGAGTTAAATCCCTGTATCTCATGGTCCCTGAGCACACTTGGAGCCACGTTTCAGCAGAAAATGCAGAGGGACCCTCAGTATAACTAGGTATGGACCCAAAAAAATCAGTTTAAAAAAAGTAATTTAGATATATATAATCCAGATACAAAAGTGATACAGCGGTAGGGCATTTGCCTTGCACGCAGCCAACATGGCCGACCCGAGTTCGATTCTTCCGCCCCTCTCGGAGAACCCGGCAACCTACCGAGAGTATCTCGCCCGCACGGCAGAGCCTGGCAAGCTACCCGTGACGTATTCGATATGTCAAACACAGTAACAAAAAAGTTTCCAATGGAGACGTTACTGGGCCTGCTCGAGCAAATCGATGAACAACGGGAGGATCATGACCGTGACCGTGACAAGTGATAGGGGTATGTCAATAACTATAAAGGTGGTAAGTGAATGCTTGAAGTTTAAGAGTCATTAAGGTACTCAGTACAAGATTTTGTCAATGATTAAATGTGAAAAATCTCTCCTTCATATTTATTTTAATGTCAATTTAGATGTATAAGTACATCAGAGTAAACCTGAATGATATAGCCTGCATGTTCTCAACATTATTGTGGCAATAAGATTCTTGTTGTGTTTTAGAAAGCTACTAGATGAGGGAATTCTGAATCTATAAAGCTCCTTATTCATTTTATTTTTGCAATAAGGATTTTCAAGTGAGACGGAATCTCCAGGTTTCATCCATAACTCATTATTTATTTACCTAGTTGCATTTTAAACCTCATTTGCCAGACCCCATCTGGGCTCAGAGGGCTAAGAAACACTTTTGTGTATGACCTCTAATTTCAAAGCATGGGATCTTTATTTATTTATAGGCTGTCAAAGAAGATTTTTCCACTTTATTTCAATGCCCATTTCTTCCTTGCCTAAACTACTTCTGGCACTTGGGAACATATCATCCGGTTCCTAGAAATGTGAGCAATGGGGAGATCTAGAATAAAGGCGACTTCCACAAACACACCAGTTATCCTTGCCTTGGGTGCCACCCCAATACACCCTACATCCTTAACATACTTCCTCTCTTCCCCATGCAAATGAACTCTGTGGAACGTGGTGATTGTGGAGAAGGCCTCCTCTAGACTAGAGAGGTCACCTTTGTGCAGCTGAGAAAAGGTGCCTACCTTAGTCTTTTGACGATGCATGACTAGTCAAAGAAAACTCAGGTTGGTTCTGTTCCCCATAGCCAATTCAATTCGGTGATAGTCATGAAATATGTATAGTGAGGCATCAAACTGAACACATTGAATGAACATGTAGTACATATAGTTGTTGTTGGATAATGATGCAGTCCAGAAACCTGTGTTTTATTGTAATGCAAGGCCACTCAGTTGCCTGTATGCATAATACCTGCTGCTCTACCATTTGTTGAGATCTTGAATGGAGACATATTTTATCTATCAAAAACTTTTAAAGATTTATCTTTCATGCAGAAAAAAATATTTTAATATTTTATCTTGACCATGGCTTTATCTTATTTCTGCCATAGGGTTATTTTATTCTCTCATATTTAGCTTCCTTCTCATTTATCTGGCCACTGGTGATTATAGAATAATTTATTGACTGTTTTCCCTAATATATACTTTTGTGTGTGTGCTTTTTGGATCACACCCGGTGATGTACAGGGGTTACTCCTGTCTCATTCACTCAGGAATTACTCCTGGCAGTGCTCAGGAGACCATATGTGATGCTGAAATTGAACCCAGGTCCACTGTGTGCAAAGAAAACACCCTACCCACTGCTATCACTCCAGCCCCACCTAACATATACTTTTAACCACCCCTAAAGAACACCATTGTGAAGGATTAATTCTGTAATATTGCAGTTCAGAGTGTTGTTCTTGAAACTTACTGCCTGATTTTAAAATCCAATTCAGTTAGGTAAAAGGTATCCAAGAAAGATGGATTTGGACTCTTAATGGTGAAAAAATAACCCTGTTGGTTTATAACAAGCACATATGAAACATATGGTTCTCCAATGCAATGTCACTTCAATTAATAGTCATAGTTAACACTCCAAACACAATTTCCCCACTTGTGAATTCGAGGATTCTAACAGGTACCTTAGTTTATTTAAGGTTAAGCAGAGTGCCTGCTTCTTAGAGTCATTGACAGTTTTACTGAAAATGTTTATCAAATGCTTTATTGCCAATATCTGCCATATGAAAAGCCACTCGACCAAAAAAGAAATATTAGCATATTTTCCTTGAGATTCCGGTGGATTTCTTATATTGTTTTACATGATTTTGCCTAAGTCAAATGGTGTCTGTGAAAGCTGGAAACTTACCTTCCTTTATTAAAGAATTATTTTTATTCAAAGAGAGACATCCCAAAGAATCTATGTTGATATGTTAGACCTTGGTTTACAGAGTTTTGCCTAATTCTTACATCTCAGATAACGACACTTCAGTGTCTGTCTTACATTTCATTGATTTCTGCAAAAGACTGGACCTATTGTTCAGGTCTTTTCTTCTTGGGCTTCCATAACTTAAAAGTATGAGCTTGTATCCCAGTTGTCTAGAGAAAAGGCTTAAGTCTACACCCGCAATCTGGCATATTAAATGTAGCAAATTCTTCCACTCAATTTTTTGGGGTCTAGGCTATGTAAGAAGTGTTTTTTTGTATATGATATATATAAGAAGTGTTTTTTGTATATGATATTCCAATCCTGAACACAACTTGATAATGACTATAGTTATTGAGAGAAACATCACTTTTGAAAGGACTGGATATGTGAATGAGATAGGAACAGAGGCAAAATGTTGACTGCCATTTTCTCTTATTGTCCTGGGGATCCCTTTCTAGAAAAAAAACTTGAGGCGATATACTTTCTGTTTATTCATTTAAAAGAAAAAAGTCTTTCAGTCACTGGGCCATAAGTTGCCAGTTTTAAATTTTTTGTTACCTTTGATGCCTCAAAGCTCATTAGGCATCGCTGTTCTGAGAATCAAAAAATCACAAATCAGTACCTGCTTCTTGAAGCATTAAAGCACATCTGGTGTGATTTCTCATGTTTCAGATTTGGACCCTTCTTTGTTGTCTCTTTCCACATTTATATTTCACTGCTTATCTGCCAACACATGAAATTCTTGCCTAGATTTTAGCAACTATGAAGGATCCCTCCTATATCCAATCCCATAAATGAACTCTGAATCACATTTTTTTTCTCTTTTTGGGTCAAATCCAGCCATTCTCAGGGGTTACTCCTACCTCTGCACTCAGGAATTACTCCTGGTGGTGTTTGGGGGACCATATGGGACAACAGAGATAGAACCAGGGTCAGCTCTGTGCAAGGCAAATGCCCTACCCGCTGTACTATAGTTCCTGTCCCAGTATTACATTTTTTATATTAGATTTTGTACCATTCAGCAACAGACAGAACTTCCACTTTATTGCTTTTTTGGTTTATATTGGTTCATATTCACAGAAAAGATTGGTAGTAGAGGGAGTCAAATCCTTTTGTACAACAGAGAATCAATCTTTTCCATAGCATAAGCAAACATTCCTTCTACTTCAGAAATGGACTCTAAAAAATGTTTTTAATTTAGAGCAGCCTGTTACTGAGGCCTTCAAATGCCCTGTTCACTAGTTCAGAGCCCAAGATGGTCATATGTCTTGAGTGACTCATAACCCCACTCTCCTGCTATGTTTTTTCACATCTTATGAATTTATGTACTTCTTTCAACTTTTTAAATTCCATACTGTCTAAAATTCATGTGGCTTTCTTAAATTATTCAGGAAACAAATGCAGCCTAGAGAGGAACAATATTATTTGCCTGGAATATCCGAGAAAGGAAATTTATGGCACCATCTATAATTTAACTTTCTTAATGTCTTCTCTAATAGTCCAGAACAGAGAAAGGCAAGAACTCAGTCTGGGTTGTAAGGAATGGCTTCTCTTCACAGAGACCCCAAGTGTGCTTAAGAATCAAGTGGGCATGATAGTTGAAAATATATATACACAATTAAAACTGCATGTGCATCATGAGCAGGTGTGCAATCTTATGTGCAAGCACTGCAAGTGAAAGTGTGGAAGCCTGAGCAAGCTCTCCATGCAAGTGTGTTGACATCACAACCAAGTATGCATGCAGTCCCCAGACATCGCAACAACAGCAACAAATAAAATAGAAGGGGGATTTTTAAATACATATAAATGTAAACTGCCATTCATTTTCTC